TGTGTGTGTGTGTGTGTGTGTGTGTGTGTGTGTGTGTGTGTGTGTGTTTTATGGCCCAAATGGGAATATCTGTTTAATTGCAATCTGGTTGTCCTGTTTTTGGTTAGACAAAATCTACTCAAACATAGAGAAATCTAATTTCAGGCTTAGCAAGCAATAAAGTCAATAATAAAACATATTTATTAAATTAAAAACAGTAAGATTCTTGTTAACTCATTAAAAAAGATTCTTAAGATTTTCTTCCCAAGAGAAACATTTAAATATCTGCCAAATGGAATAAAGGCCAGCCATATTGCATTTGAGTAAATGTGTACATTTTGTCGTCCTAAGGGAGACAGCATGAATTTAGGGATTCCAGTGTTAATTTTGTTTGTGCCATTATTGAGCTATACAACCCAGGGCAAATGTCTTTGTCTCATGAGCCCTTACTGTTTCTCATGTATACATTGAGAGGATTGGATTAGGTGATGATTTCTAAAGACTTTTCCATTCTATAAAACATATAAAGTCTTTCCTTATATTCTGTAAATCAAAAGTATAAACAGGGGAAAGAAAAGCACAGAAATGGTTAGGACAAAAGTGTAGCTCAGTGCTTAAGGGAGGAGTTTCTGGGAGGAGAAGAGAAAGGGGCAGGGCAGGGCTGCAGCAAGTGTGGGGATCTCTCCAACTTTAGTTCAATGTCTGCCTTTCTGATGGCTTGGATGATGCAGAAATGCACCTCAACTTTAGTTCAATGTCTGCCTTTCTGATGGCTTGGATGATGCAGAAATGCACCTCCTGTTTGCTCTCTCTCTCTCTCTCTCTCTTGTTTCCTGTTCTTTCTTCATGTTTCTCTGTGTCTTCTTTCTTCACACCTCCATTCTCTTACCATCTCTATATCTCTCTGAGGAATAGATATAGTTAGGATTTGTCAGGAAGAAACAAGAATAATGATGAAAGTTGGAAAAATAATTTCCCAGATTGTTTTTGTCTTTTCATTTCCTGGCATCTGTTATAGCTTCAGTTTTACTTAGAAAAAAAGTTCATAGGTTGTATGTTCACAACAATGATAATGATGATGACACTAACCTTGACTACTTGCTGTGTGCCGGGAATCATTCTTAATGCTTTAGGAGTAATTCTGTATTTAATCCTCATAACAACACAATGAGGTAGGTACTGTCATCATCACCATTAGGCAGATAAGGACACTGAAATCAGAGAGGTCAAATCACTTGCCCACAGTTAATTTTGGTGAAGTTGGGATCTTATCCTAAATCATCATTTTTCAGTGTCACTGCTGTATGCACTCAGTCTTGCTGCATCTTCTCCAAGGCGGAAATGCTGTATATTTTTCATTTTCACTTTAGAATTGGTATACTGCTTGAAGAAGATACTGTACTTTGAATTGAACTGAAGGAGCATCATCCTATCTGGAACAGAGAGTTGTCCGTGGCTTCTCTTGCCCTGGACCTCCAGGGCAGGCTGTGCTCAGAATGCCTTCCCAAGGTTCTTGTTGAAAAATATTTGACTTGTTTGAAAGCATCTACTTCCTTTCTGTGTACAACTTATGAAACTTCTTTTAATTTAGAAATTTTAGTTTTAATAGTTAAACCATAGTTTAAGAAAGTTTGATTGCATTTCTGTACAAATAGTAAAAGTGTAACATTAAACAAATATGTGAATAAATTAATATATGAACCAAGTAAGTCGTGTTTGAGGAAATAGCTACGAACAAAAGGTCAGTGAAGCACTGCATTTAGTTATTAGAGAAAAACCCTTTAAGTTTGTATTTGCCTGAATACAGTTGACTTCTTTTGAGATATACTAGGTTTTTCATTTATTATGAACATTTTACACAAGGGAAAAAAAGTATTAGTATGTTTACACTCCAAGGTCAATATGTCTACTCCTACATATGGTATTAAGATGAGAGAAAGAAGTAAGAGAGCTAATCTTTTGGGCATTTGTTTCCATGGCACACAGATAATATCTTTTTGGTAGGATTTTGCATTTGAAGGCAGAGGATGCATTCTTTATTCATTATGTCCTCTAATACCTCACTTATCCAGTGGTCATATTTCCAGCAATTCTATCCTCTGGAGCTTAGGAGTATTGGATCATAGAATATTAGTGTTGAAAAGGATCTTAGGGATAATTTAACTCAATTGTCTTATCTCACATATGAAAAAGTATAGCTGCAAATGAGTAAAGGGCCTAGCCATGGATTAGAAAAACATCTCCAAATAGAAACTAATAATTACAAAAGTTACATACTGTTTACTCAATTTGCTTCGTAAATACTCGTTGAGTAGGAATTATGTGTCAAATGAGGGACAGAACAGTCCTCCTTTGACTATGGTCCCTCCTTAAAGCTCTTACCAAAATGTGTGTGTGTGTCATGAGGCCACAGATAAGAAATAGCTGGGAATTGTTCCTGGTGAACCCTTTGAAGATGACAGGGACTTGATCTTGTTAATTCCCCGTTGTCTCATGGTGCTGATCACAGGAAGAAATGATCACGGTATAGAAATCTGGGAATATTTGGTATGAGCAAATCTACTGACTTAAAAAACCCTCAAGGAATTATTATTTTTCATTACGGTGTTAAGTCTAAGTTCATGTTGATAACTGAGTCAAGAAGAGGTTAGAGTTCTTTCAACCTGCTGCTTAGCATAGTGGTTGAGTGCATATTACATTTTTGAAAGCGTTCAAATGAAGAGAGTATTAGTGCCCAAAAGAGTGAGCTTCAATTCTCTGGGAATTTTTTCCAAAGTTATAAAAATTTATTGAACACCTGCTATGCATAACAACCTATCTCTAGACCATGAACAGATAAGTTTAATGTTAGTAGAGGGGAAATTGAGTCATTGTAAATAAACTTGATGTTTGGCCATTAACTTTACAGCAGAGTTTTATATACTGAAACACCATTATCAAGGTTGGTGTTATGAAAGGGGTCATGCTAAATGTGAGACAGAGAGAAGAGAGAGGATAAATAAGCTGTATTAACTGCTGCAGCCTAGGCAGTGTGTCAAGTGTGCGACTTCATTTTATCCTCACAGCAATCCTGTATGGTACTCGGTGTTGTTGCCGTTTTGCTGATGAGGAAACTTGGAATCAAGAGGTGAGGTAATTTGCTTAAGATGATGTAGCTGACAAACAGCTAGATTGGAATTTGTATCTCTGGAATTCCAAAGTCCAGGGCTGGCCCACTGTGCCTGAAGGAAGTGGCATTTAACTCTCCAGCTGACATGGAGTATAACCTTACAGACATATGCATTCATCCATTTATGCATCCATCATCTATTTAACAAATATTTGAAAACCAACCTAGTGCCAGACTCTAAAAGAAGAGGCAGAGCCAAATTCATAGAAAAAATTGAACTACAGGATACTATATTACATAATAAAAGTATGCAACAAAATCATAAGAATGTGGTTTTTTTTTTTTGAAAAAAAAAATTAGCCTGTAGACCCAGTACCATTACTTTAAGATTATATTTTTTATATTTGGGGGAATTTTTTTGACTCTTATAAAATATAACTAGATATAAATTCAAAATTAAGTCATTTGTAGTTAGCAAATCCATTTTAAAAATTTCATATTGATGTTAAACTGCCGATGTTGGCCCTGATGTCTAAAAGAATGCAAGCTTTCCTTTTCTTCTTCACTTTCAGAATGATAGCATCCCATTCAGCCTCCTGGATATATTGGATGCACATTTAGCACTTCCCAGATTTGATACATAGAGTATCAAATGATATTTTATTTCCTCACCAATTCTGAAGTCTTAGTGAAGTCTAAATTAGTAAAATGTACAGAATAGAGAGTTAGAGAACAGACAGACTAACATAAACTATGTAATTATTCTTTGTCAATTAAAAATAAAGTGAAACCTAAAAATAAATAAAAATAACAAAGAAGAAATAGACTAATAGTGTATTCTAGAAAGCACAGGATCGCAAGTCAGAAGACCTGGATTTGGATACAGATTCTTTCACTTGTGTAGCATTGTGCATGATTCTAAATTTCTTTGAGTCTGGATGTGTTTGTTTATTTAATAATGTTTATGGCACAACATTGTGAGAACTAAAAGATACCATAGATATAAAAAAATTCTTTGCAAACAAAGTTATAGTGTCAAATTGTGTAAAGATCTTTATAGACTCATCATTGTAATAATTGTCACCTCAAGATGTCAAGTGAGGATACTAGGGATTTGACATTGGGCTCAAGATGCGAAGGAAAGAAGAGAAATAGAGCCCTAGAGAGAGGTTGTTTTGTGTGTGAAGGGAGAAGATTGTCAGTATTTGTCTTACTTTTGAGTGCTCAGTTTCTTGCCCGTTTTAGTTTAGGTGGCAGGAGCACGCTACAGCCTCCTTCTTGCAGCCTCAGAGACACCTGTACAATGTCTCTTAGTGGCACCAAAGGCCCCCATGTTGAATCTTTCTCATTCCTGACCCTTTGCTTCCTTTTGGCCACTCCCACTCATGTGCCCTTTGCTCTCCCTGCCTCCCACCATCAGTCCATCTCCATGCCTGACTCCGGCTTTTCCTGGGAGCAGGCTCTCTGAACCCTCCAAATTACTCCCAGTTTACCTTCATTCTTGCCATCTGCCTTTCCTATATTCTCTGCAAATCTCACTGACCACACTCCCAGAAAGGAAAGAAAAATTTAATGATATGAGAAAATAGTCAGGAAAGTGGTGTGTCCAGAAGTAAAAAGGGTTCTGTAGGGCAGAATGGACAGGGAGATAAGGCCTTGATGGAGGGAGGGTCTTGGCAGGAGACTCGGTGGGCAGTTTCAGAGGGTGACCCACCTGAGTGTTTAATAGCAGGGCAAGTTTCAACTCTACTTTGCATGTGCTGAGTGTGTATTACCGTGTACCTCTGTGAAAGTATTGGCAAGACAATCAGTAATAGATAGAAATGACTCCATCTTCATAAGAAGGCAACACATATGACCACCATGGTTTCAGTCCTGACAAGTGATTTTCTAAATCTGTAGACTGGAGGCCGGGGTGCAGCTGATCAGGTATCTCAAGCTTCTTTTCCCTGAACTCCTTTCTGTGGGTATTCTCAGTCCAGTTATATCAGGCCCCAGTAACTGTGATCACTGTGATTGTGCATAATTGCCTGTTGTTCCTTAGTGGAACTGTGCTTGCAAGGTAGGGGTCCTTTGGAAAAATATTATTAGAGAAAAGCAGCAGAGAGGAAGTCTGCAAGTCAACAAGTAAAAAACCAACCCACGTTTAGTAGGAACAGAAAATGTATGACTCATAGGGACAAACACAGAGGCGGACACTGCTTCATTGTTTCTCTGTCAGACTTTTAAATATGAGGTGGGAGTCCTCACAGCTCCTAGGGAAAGCCTGGTAGATGAAAAACGAAAGCATATTTTTGAAACTTGTACAGGTAGTATACAGACTAAACAGTGTGTCCAGGCTTCCCAGTCCGGCCCCTAGCATGTGTCTTCTTTAAATATGATCTGACTTATTTTAGTGGTAATTTCATCTAGATAAATTGTATTCCTTTAAATAATGTTACAAACACCAGATGTGTGAACTCTTTGGTTCTAGTGTTTTTGTCTTTTTTCCTAAAATGTGTCCTTCCTGTACTTTTGATGTTCTTTGAGAAACCTAAAGACAAGATGAAGAATTCCAGATGAGGCTACTGAAAGGCCTGTGAGTCCTGGGCGTGTGTTCCTTCCATGCACGAGGAATCTCCACCTGTGCAGCCCTCAGAAGGATTTCTGAAGAGCTTATGCAGTAGAGGCCTTGTGGTACATAATTTAAACATCTCTAAAAATCTATGCCACAATCTACCTTAACATTTGATTTGCTCTCTGTAAAGTTTGCTTTGGTGTTAACGATCTTTCAGTTTTATCAGCCACATTTTATGGATTATTAAAATAGTGTCTGTGATGGGATGAGCAAAAAGAAAATGACGGGCAAGGCAGCAGCACCCCCACCCTTACCTCATCTGAAAATGTTCTCACACTGAGGATAGTGCTTGCGGGGTGCCCCGTGTGCTCCAGATGATAGACAGAGCATGTGATATACCACAGGGACTCCTGAAAGGAAGCTGGGTCCCTCCTTTCAGCATTGCTGACTGCTTGCTGTGTGACCTTCAGAAGACCCTTCACCTCATTTGCCATCGGCTGCCTTGCCTGTTAATTGGGACAATAACAACCCTGGCTCTCTGTTCTTCGAAAGATTGCTGACATGATTTAAAATTTGCTTTGAATTGCAAAAAAAGTATTAAAAATTATGTATTTACATATATTCATGTATATATACATATACATGGGTATATGTGTATACACACACACATTTGCTATTCACGCTGAGGCAGAGATCGAGCAAGCTGAACTTGATTTCCCTTAGTGGGCTGAACACTCCCACTGCTTCCAGAGATCTGGACCATGACACATGGCACCTTGTGTGGTTTTGTAACCAGGGTCTCCCCCATCTCAGTGCATGATCTCTTCTCCCATTCAGAAATCATCTTTGATTCCGCTTTCTTCTTCATCCCCTACATCCAATCTGTCTACCACCAATCCCGTCAGCTCCTCTTTCAAATCCATCTACTTCTACTGCTCTGATGCTGCTATCCTAGACTAGACCACCATCATCAGCCTCTGTTGATTGCCTCACTATGATCTATTTTCCATACAGCAGCCTGAGTGACCTTTCAAAAATGTAGAATACATAGTCAGAAGTCCTGCTTGAAACTATTCAGTGGCTTTTTGGTGCTTTTAGGATGAAATTCAAGCTTCTAACCACGGTCTGCCTGGTTTACTCTAATCACACAACTGGTTACCTTGTTCACTGTGGTTTAGCCAAGCTGGGCTCTTCAGTTCTTTAGCTCACCACATTCTTTCTTAAGGATTTAAAAAACAGACTTTATTTTGGAGGGCAGTTTTAGGTTGACAGCAAAATTTAGTGGAATGTACAGAGATTTCCCATGTAGCTCCCACATGCATAGCTTCCTGCATTATCAGCACCCCCTGCCAGAGTGCTACATTTGTTACAATCCGTGAACCTGTGATGGCACATCATTATCATCGAAAGTTCATCTTTTGCATTAGGGTTTGTTCCTGGTGTTGTACATTCTATGGGTTTGGATAAATGTAATAATGACATGTATCTATTCTTGTAGTATCATATGGAATAGTTTCACTGCCCTTAAAATCTTCTGCCCTCTGCCTATTCCTCCTGCCCTTCCCACCCCCATAACCCCTGGCAGCCACTGATGTCTTCACTGTCTTCATAGTTTGAGTTTTCCCTCAATGTCATGTAGTTGGAATGGTATAGAATGCAGCCTTTTCAGACTGACTTCTTTCACTTAGTAATAGCTTTTAAGGTTATTCCATGTCTTTTTATGATCTTGAGGATTTACTGTAGCTTTTTGGTTTGCTTGGCTTTAAATTTTCACCTTATTTATCTAGCCTCTTGTCACTTTGTTGTATTTTCTTCATAGCTCCTATTGCCCTCTGACATTCTTTTTTTGGTTTATTGCCTGTCTTTTTCATTAGAACTTTAGAGAGTGAGAGTCTTGTCTTGTTCCTGGCTTGTATCCCCAGTATCTAGAACAATTCCGGCTGCATAGTACATACTCAACAGACGTTTGAAGAGTTAAAGAGTTAAAACTTGGACATTCATTCTTTTTGGCTTTACTCTTATGGTGACAAGTCTTCTCTTCATTCACTCTGCTCCAGGTTTTGTTCAGAGTAGAGGCAGAAATTCATGTTAAGTCACTGAGTCTGGGAATTATTTCTTGTTCACCTTTGGCTTCTGAAGCTCTGCTGGTTTTCTGCTGAATTTAATGGGTCTCCAGACGAATGGCAGTTTGGTAGCCTTGGTGGGAATCAGTCACGCTGCAAGAGTGAACAGAGGCAGTAGAAAATTATTAAAGGAAAATTGCAGAAAAGTATGATTTAACATTTATTGAGTCACACATTGTACTCAAAGCTGTGTATAACATAAAAAGCAAATTAGGAGACAAGTCAGATATAAAATGAGTGAACACATACAAGCATACAAATACTGCAGAGACGTATTTCTTCAGATGCCTTCTTTCATTTACCAAACTGTAGTCTTATCAAAATATATAGGCTACTTCAGGAGAGAAACAGTGCAGCCAATGTTTGTGGCCCACTTATGCTGTGGGGCACAGGGAGGCTTGCAATTTCATTACTGGTTTTTAAAGAAACTTTCTCTTAGGCTAACAGACTTCCTAGAGAGGCCAAACCAAGTGAAGCTGAGTTAATGTTCTCATTAAAATGTTAAAGAGGCTTTATTCATGAACAACTGAAGCTGTAATTGCTTTATCCTTGTAAACTATGAAAATATGCAGTGATCTCTCATAGAGGCATTCACCCAGTCCCTCAGTCAGGAAAAGCCTTGTTTAGTGGAGGGCTTGGCTGCACCTGGGGACTGAAAAGCAGATCCTCTGGGTGGTTCGTATCTGTCAGGGATATGGTATAAGTGGTGGTAAGAGTACTCCATCAATCTGTTTTCACTTTGTAGATCTTGTTTTGTAAGCATGATTTGACTATTTGAACTTGAGTACTAATTTGGAAATCATATGAGAATTGAACATGTATATATATACACACATGCAAACAAATGTTATAGAAGGAAGCAGGTTTTAAAAAAATCAGGTTTATCTTTTCCATAAGCCATAGCTTATTGAGATGAGAGTAGAAGAAATTGAAAGATGCTGATATACTGGTGAAACTAAACAAAGAATTGATCTGGAAAAGGATGGCATGTGATTTGCAGGGTGAGAAGGGACTCGCATCTGGCTTTCAGAGGTAACAGACTTTTTTGTCCCTACTTATTTCTGTCTTTCAATGCCCCAGTACAAAAACATAGCTGTGGAACTGTAGGTAGTGAATTCAGATGGCAAATGCAACTATGTTTTTCTTTCTGGAAATGAAATAAGGATGAAGTCAGACTTACAGGATTGAAATCATAGAGCTATGGTTTTTATATAACTAGGAAACTTATATTGGAAATCTCAAAGTGAAATTTAAAGGGAAAAAGGTTAGAACATTTTCCTTTTCTCTAGTTCCTTATTATTAGAACCCTTGTTGGTTGAATGATAACAGAACTAGGCCTCACGACATGCAGACGTAATATGAGCAGTACCTAGGGATTGCTTTAAAATGGTGTAGAAGGAGAAAATAGCTTTTCCTCATTCATCCTAAGTTTGTGACTGATGCCCCTCTTAAAAAGACATTAACAAGAGAAGAGGATACAAATGTATTTAATATAAATTGTACATGACAAAGAAGCTTTCGTGTGGACACAAGGACCTGAAGAAATGGTTGTACTTGTGTATTTTTATACTAGGTGATGAAAAAGTGGATAGTTGTGGAGAAATAGGATTGGATAAAGGGAATATTATCTAATGGTAGAAAAGTGGGAGAAATTTACCAAGGCTTTACTTTAGTAAATTTACTTTAGTAAATACCTTCTAAAGTATTTGCAAACTACTTTACTTTGGGTTAGAGTTACACTAAAATACATATATCCTAGAAATGTCTACATTTTCTTCTTCAAAGGGTCAAATCTTTTTCAGATGTAAGTGCAGTGCATTTGTTAAAACTGGCTCAAGTCTGTAGGGATAATGGAGTTGAAAGATACAAGAAGCTCTCTTTCTTTGTGATAGATTGGGTAGGTTTCTAAAGAGTTCTTTTCTGGAGGGGTTATGATCCCAGTCCAATGATGTCAATGGTATGAATGGTAGAAAGTACCTCTCATAGTTTTTGAACACAAAGTAGATTCTAATATCTGGAACACTATTGGTGATATTTAATAAAATATATATTTTAAATTATTAAGAGATTTAGAACAAGATATAACAAATTCCTACTACTAGCTCTTCCAGTAAACTCTTGGTTGATTGGGGAACTGCTAACCTAGTTCCTAAATTCAGAAGTGAATCCAGAGAGATAGGGATCTTTGGGTTCTATCCAGACACAACTCAACTTACCTTCCCCTTCTGCAAAATAGGATTCCAATCCCTTTCCTGATCTTTAGAGCAGATCTATTCTGGAGGTTTCTTTTTGGCTTGCCTAGGAAATCATAGTGGGCTGTAATCAGGTCCTGATATTCCAGTATAACTCAGAAACCTTTGAAGAAATGCATGCTGTAATGAGCCCTTCACCAATAATGGGATATGTATAGAGAGTATCATGGGAACAAATAGTAGTTTTTTAGAACTTTTGTTTGCTTTCTAGAGTTTTCCATTTCATTTGCAGACAGAATATTGTCACATCTCACTGCTCAGCATCTCTGCCCAAAGCAGACCCTCTTTTCATTTTAGTTCTTAGAGGTAAGTTATATCCAAGACCCTATATTGACCTTATGATTAGATGATGTATTAGTCGGTTCTCACACTGCTATAAAGATACTAACGAAGATTACATAATTTATAAACAAAGGAGGTTTAATTGACTGACCGTTCTGTGTGGCTGGGGAAGCCTTAGGAAACTTAGAATGATGGTGGAAGGGGAAACTTAGAATGATGGTGGAAGGGGAAACTTAAAATGATGGTGGAAGGGGAACCAGACATACCTTACAGGGCAGCAGGTGAGAGAGAGAGCACAGGAGAGCAGGGAAAACTGATTTATAAACCATCAGATCTCATGAGAACTTATTATCATGAGAACAGCATCGGGGAATCACCCCCTTAATCCAGTCACTTCCCTCCCTCGACATGTAGCGATTACAATTTGAGATGAGATTTAGGTAGAGACACAGAGCCATATCAGCTGTCAATGCCAAAAGTCTAGGGGAAATTTTCAAAGCGCATTGTTGTGTGATGTTTTCCTTTAAATACTGGTTTTTTTGTTTTGTTTTGTTTTGTTTTGTTTTGTTTTGTTTTGTTTTGTTTTTTGAGGTGGATTCTCACTCTGTTGCCCAGGCTGGAGTGCAGTGTTGAAATCTTGGCTCACTGCAACCTCCACTTCCTGGGCTCAAGCGATTCTCCTGCCTCAGTTTCCTAAGTAGCTGGGATTACAGGTGTGCCAGCTAAGTTTTATATTTTTAGTGGAGTTGGAGTTTTACCATGTTGACCAGGTTGGTCTCAAACTCCTGACCTCGAGTGATCCACCTGCCTCAACCTCCCAAAGTGCTGGGATTACAGGCATGAGCCACTGCACCCCACCCTGTTTTCCTTCAAATACTTAATTCAGTTCTGTCTTAAGGCTTATGTTGATTGGCCAGTGATTGTTTGCCTCGTCAACTCATTCATTCAGCAAATATTTTGGGAATATGTACTATATTTCAGGGGCGTATATGGTATATAGGGGCTGGGATAAAAAGATTGGGAAATCAGATTTGTTTACAAAGTTTTGTTGATAGTTCATAGGTTGAAAATAAAGAGTGAAATACCTGAAGGAAACCAAATTGCTTTTCTGCAATTCAAAGACTACATGCAAGATTGCCATATCAGAGCCTACTCTGTAGAGTTCTCCATTAAGTGCATTTCATGTGGGAAGTGGCACCAGATGTTTTCTGTTACGATAATCTTCATATATTTATTAAGCTGTAACTTATAAGGCTTCCTGATGGGGCATTAAATGAGGCTCTTTGTGTGCTACACTGTGTCATTGTAAAGAAGCAGTCTGTTAATTCCTGCCTTGTCATTTATCTGGCTCTTACTGGTAATGAAGCATGTTTCAGTCATTCCAGGAGGGTTTTGGGGATATGCACAAAAAGGAGTAAGTGTAACAAAAGGATTGGTTTTATGGTGGGTTGGAGGAAATGCACTTAGGGAGAACTAGGGTAGAATGAAACCTTTTGTCTAATATGTTTTACAGTTTTATTCGAATAACTCAGAATTGTTCTACATTTTAAGAAATGCTAAGAAAATACTAGGTTACTGCATTTTTGAAAGTTTTTCTTTTCTTTCTCAGTCACTGACCTGGCAGTGGGTTAGGAGAATCCAAGAACTCCCAAGAATTGCAATGGTACAGTAGAGGAGTCAAGCAATTTTCCTATCATTTCTAAGCTCTGTGCTTGGGAGAAATGGTTATATACTGACAATGGAGGTTTGATTCCAGGAAAGAAAAGAGAGCATAGAAAAGGGAAATAAAAATGTGGGTTGTTAGATAAGAAAAGGGAAAAGAGCAAAGAGAAAAAGGAAAAAAGATGTTTTGTTGTCCTTCTTTCTCTCTCTTAGCTCCTTCTTCTCACAAAAGGAAGGGGTGCAAAAATGGGCAGATTAAAAGGGTAAAGAAGCGAGTTGAATTAGAGATAGGAAGGTACTTGGACGTAGTGAAGGAGAAGGAAAATGAGTCAGAGAAATCGCAAGAATAAGTGAGAGGGAAGGAAATGGGATAAGAACTGTTTAAATTCAGGAAGAAGAGAGGGGCTCGGAGAGGGGAGTGGACACTTTGGTCACACTGAGAGCCTTCAATTACTCCCAGCAGGGCATCTGCCAAATAGCCAGTGTCCTTTGCTGAAGACATTTTCCTGACTTTTGTATTAACTTTAATGTGATTCTCTTTATTGTCCCCTTATTGGTGGTGGCAGTTTCATCGACACTCTGTGTGATCAAATAGCAAATGTGTAGGTACAGTTCTGCTATTCCTGCGCCCTTACAGTTTGCAGCCAACTTCTGAGTAGTGCATCTTGTGTTTGACATTTGTCATTCCTCCGTGTCTTGTAGGAGAGTTGAAGGGGAAGAGAAATATTCCTAAGGGCTGTCACATCTATAGCTCATGCATTCAAATATTAAAGAAGCTTAAAAAACTCGATAAAATCACATTTTAATTTTTTTTTGAAGTAAGATAGTTGACTCCTTGCTAGTCTAGTGACCTGCCCTAACCTAAGGCCACAGTCACTATACGTATAGGTGCATTGCTTCAAGACTCAGCTCAGGAAGCCTTCCCGGAATTTCCCACCTAGGTCAGGTACTTTCTAAGTGTGTACCAGTACCTTCCCCTGCCCCTGGCTTCCTGTGCTGACCTTTTCCTGTTAGATCTGTCATGCTGTGTGGTAATTTTTTTTTTTTGAGACAGAGTCTCCCTCTGTCACCCAGACTCTGGTGCAGTGGAGCAGTATCAGCTCACTGCAACCTCCGACTCCTGGGTTCAAGCAATTCTCTGCCTCAGCCTCCTGAGTAGCTGGGATTACAGGTGCCCACCACCATGCGCAGCTAATTTTTGTGTTTTTAGTAGAGACATGGTTTCACAATTTTGGCCAGGCTGGACTTGAACTCCTGACCTCCTGATCCACATGCCTTGTCTTCCCAAAGTGCTGGGATTACAGGCATGAGCCACTGCGCCTGGCTGTTGTGTGGTAATTTTTATCCTTCCACTTTAGGCTCTTTGCACAGTATTCATTATTACTGAGCACCTCATTATGGAACAAATAATGTCTATCTTTGATGTCTACAGATGCTGATCTTTAAAGTGTAAAATAAATTCTTCTAAATTTGGCTATGCTTTTAGATATCTGTTTACAATTAGGCTGCATGTTCTGGAAAGAAAAGAGATATAGCCAGGTGTAAGGTGTTTCTGGAGAGTTTAGTAGAATATTTGTTTCCAGATTCATACAACTATAATAAAGGATTTGTGATCCCTTTAAGTTTTAGATACCAGAGGATGGTCTTGAAGTTTGGGGGCAACCTATTTCTTATGATTCTAGGACTCACAGGCCTGATGGATAAGGCACTTTAAAACCATGCTTCTCAGACTTTAATGTGCATAGGGATTATCTGAGGATGCAGATTCTGTAGCAATAGGTCTCAGGTAGGTTCTCAGATTCAGCACTTCAAGCTCCCTGGTGAGGCTGATTTCGCTGCCTATGGACCACATTCTGAGGAACAAGGCTTTAAAACACTTTCTAGAAAGCTGGGCTTTATCCTATGAAAATGTCTAGGAGCACTTTATAGTTTGCAGAACAACAAATTTCCTGAGGAAAAGCTTATAAGTGTGTAACTTTTATTTCAATTTGGAAACTTAAAAGAATTTCTCACAGTTAAAAACGGTACATCTGATACTAGTCAACCCCAAAACTGCTTTTGAATGACATTTTAGATTGTACTACCCTTAATTAACATATAGCTTTATTTTTTTAGGCTTTCTTAGGTTTGGGAAACCCTGGCCCTAGGACTGGCCTTAGTGTATCTACTTTAGCAAGAAAGACTACTTGTAAAGCAGAAATACTGTTTGAAAGATTGACAGTTCTAAGGCTTTGTTTATGATGAGACCTTCACATTTATTGATTGTTACCAAGTTAGCACCATGCAGAGACCTTCTCCAAGGGCATTCAATCGCAATGGCCAGAAATGGAAAGGGCAATGTTCAGCTCGAACTTTGCAGGCGAAGCCTTGCATCTACTTACATAGATAGGTTGAGTCACCTATCTGAAATTGATGTTTGAAGCTTTTTTCTAACAAGATGGCCTTTATTTTACAGGTCCTTTGCTGCCAGCATGCTATCATATTTGTAATATGTGGAGGAGAGAGAGCTCACCATGCTCAGGTAAAGGGATGGTATGTGCACCACAAATAACAAGCAGGTTAGTTGTCACCATATGGGAAGGGATTTAGTTTGATTATACCTCTGGCATTCTTAGTTGTGTCTAAGTTATATCTGGATTTCAGGGACTGTGGCTGAAGATCTCGGTGAACTAACATGCATTTGGGGAACATTTACAAAATACCTATGACAGGGCCTCTGTGAACATCCAGCAAGGAAACAGGACTGGTCACTTGAAATCTCTTTCCAACTTCTACAGAGTTTACATAAAATTACTACTGTTGTTCAACTTTATCAGCTTATCATGAGGCCTTTATCTTTTTAACATTTATGTAAATAAATGAATACTGAAGACTTCTAATTAAAGTCTTATCTCTGTCCCCTTATCTAAAGGTATCCTTCTAAATTTCCTTTGCATTTTCTTTTGAAATAAATGCATGTCTCACAACTTTGATTTTCCCAAACAGGTCACTGAGATTAATTTTCCATTAACCTTTATTACTTCTGTTTTTTTCTAATCATCTTCTTAGAGGATTAAACAGTCCCCATTGGGCTAGTCTCTCCTTAGGATATGAGCCGTCTTTTTCTTTGATGACCTCTATAGAACTGATTTGGATGGTGGTGATCTATTGTCCAGTGACTGAACCTGGACTCATTAACTGAGCCAAAGCTTCTGTAGATATACCCACACTAGGAGTTCTGATGACCATGGCAATGTTGTTATTGGTCTTGCTTCCTTGGTGACCCAGTCTGTATTATTTTCATCTGACTGCCTTAACAAAGCATCACAAACTGGCTGGCTTACACAACAGTAATGTATTGTCTCACAGTTCTGGATTCTGGAAGTCCAAAGTCCAGGTGTTGGCAGGGTTGGTTCCTTCTCAGCTGTGATGGAGAATCTGTCCCAGGCCTTTCTCCTACCTTCTGGCAGCCTCAGGCATTCCTTGACTTGTAGACGGTATTCTCCCTGTGTCTTTACACTGTCTTCCCTACGTGTGTGTCTGTGTCTATGTCCAGGTTTCCTTTTAGTAAGGACACCAGTCATATTGGATTAGGGCTCACCCTACTGACCTCATCTTCACTCAATCATCTGCAAGGACTCTATTTTTAAAAATGTCACATTCATATGTATGAGAGATTTAGATTGCAGCATCTTTTTGGTGTACACGATTCAGCAGATAACACTATGTGGGTGCTGGCATACCTCATTTTATTGCACTTGGTTTTATTGAGCTTTGCAGATATTGTGTTTTTTTATACATTGAAGGTTTGTGGCAACCCTGCATCCAGCAATTCTATTGGCACCATTTTTCTAACAGCACGTGCTCATATGGTATTCCTGTTTCAGCAATAAAGGATTTCTAAATTAGGGTGTATACATTGTTTTTTAGATGTAATGCTATTGCACACTTAATAGACTATAGTATAGTGTAAACGTAACTTTTATATGCACTGGCAAACCAAAAGATGTGTATGACTTGGTTTATTGTAATGGTCTGGAACCGAGCCTGTAATATATTCAAGGTATGCCTGAATTGAATTCCTCTAGATACCCTTAAAGCATCTAGCATGGTGCCTGCTGCTTAATATTTGTTGAATTAGTGAATGACGTGGACCATAAAAGCCATGGCCAAATTTAATTTGACAAAGCAAAATGCAGTGACCAGAGGTGGGCAGGTATTATGCCAACATTTGTCCTCAGTGAACTCTTGCCTTCAGGATAGTCCAGGCTAAACAATATCATAAATGAGATAAGAGTTTTCCTTTAAAGGTAGTAGCAGGTGGGGTTTTTATAAAATACAGCCCTTTGTGTGAGCTGGTACTGCTGTCTCCATTGGCATCACAGGTTGAACTGCCAATTTACATGCTGCCTCTATCAGTACATCAAGATATCGTTCCAGCTAATTCAATACAATTTAAATCATACTTAGCCGGGCTATTCTTTCTTTCCAGCTGCATCGCTTTGCACTTATTAAATTTAACATTCTGTTCTCTGGCTTTAATCTCTAAATGCTATCCTGAAATAGATCTGCCCTAATCATGTCTTATTCCTTCTTTATGCTTCCTTTAGCTCAACATTATTACAAGTTACCTTTTAAGTGTTCAGATTTGGGTGTTGATAAATTATTAGGATACTGGTCTCAAGGTAGCACTTAAATGATCTGTCCTTTAGAGTTGCTTATTTGGAAAACCCTTTATTTCCTCTTGGGGTAGTGCTTTCTAGCCATGTCTACTGTTACTTCCAGGAAAGGATTACCTTTTTAATAGCAAAAGGAAACCTCCTGCTGAGATGAGTGAAAGTCCAGGGGCAGATCTCCTGGAAGTGAGGCAGGCATCTTTAGGAGCCCTGTGAATTCATTTAAGCCCCTGGATTAGTGCTGTGTGGAGATGCTGTAAGCAGCAGGTCAATGTCTAGATATTGACTGTGTGGGTCAGGCCCAGGCCTCCAGGAAGTCTGAGCTGCAGAAAGGGTGGAATCATTTACTTACAAGCTTTTCCAGCCCCACAGAAACTTTTGCGTTCCTGCAGGTGGGGCTGCAGGCTGTCCCAAGGCCAACTGATAGCATTGGCTTAGGCAGCAGTGAATTTATAAGATGATGACAGGCAGTAGAAAATGAAAATGAAATTAAAAATTCATCTTAGCATTTTTCACACTGACATTCGTCCTAACAAAATTGGTAAATCAAACAGCAAATATTTATGACGTGTGTGATGCATGCAGGCACAGTTCCACCAAATGCCAGGTATAGATGTATAACTTCATCCTGTGTCTCCATTGCTAACTTTCCTTTTCCATTTTATGCAAGAGCTTACTACCCTTCATTAGAGGTCTCCTATAACTTTCCATGTGAACTCTCCTAAGTGTGGCTTGTGGGCATGGCTATAGGGTTTCATTAAAATTGAAACAGTTAATTTGTTTTGGTTACGCAATGATCAAACCATGTGATGGTGGGATAGCCCTTGCCAGCTGCAGGTAGGTCCTAGTGAGCAATTATATGCTTGTAATTCATCTGTCCCAAAATAGCCAGTGAAGTACTCTACGGTGTGCGCTATAACAATTATCACATCCCAGTAAGTCTTATTTTAATAATCAAGTAATCTTACATGTACCTAATACTTCTCTATTATTAAAGAGAAAATAACCCAGAAATAAAACCTCAGGTGCCTTGAACATGAAAAACGAGTTTGTTATTGTTGCTTTGTCTTTACTCCATTTTGCATTCTCTAATTTCACTAATCTTACTTTTCTGAAAACTCAGCTATAAGACTCTCATGGAATTGATAATAATTTGCTAACTTGTTAGACTCTGATTTTAAAAAGGGGAAAATGAGAAAAATGATTCTTATGTCCTTTTAGTTAATAATTAACATGGTAAGTTTTTCTTAGATCTCTGACATTAGAATGTAATTATGATATTATGGAAAGTATTCTAATTAAACAAATTATACTTCAAAATTTGTACACAAATCAGTTAAAATATGAATCTTAATGTCTGCTTTCTGTAGGATCTTCTTCCTCTCCCTCTGATGGTTCCTTCTTTGTTTCATTTAAATCATGAGTTTATGTTAAGTGCTTATGAGCTGATAATATAAAAGTGATGAAGAAGAGCAGTGGCTTTTGGCAGGGAACTCAGAAGCTTGGAATTCTCTTCATCTGCATTTAGTTGTCACTAAGCTCTGTCAAATTTCTATAATTCTTTTATATTTTACTTTCCTTTTTTAAATCTACAGTTATTCTTTCCAAGCCTTTCTCTTTTTCTTGCTTGTTCATATGACCATTCTGTTTTGTTTGCTCGTTGGTTCGTTCATTCATTCATTCGTTCATTCATTCATGTAGTACCCTTTTGACAGGTGCCAAACTTTGTTCTGGACATAGTATCAAGTATATTATAATTTATATGGGAGATAGCAATGATTTTTGCATGACTACGATGGAGCAATAAAACTAAGTATACCTTTTATATAGGAAACAGAGCAACTAAATTGGCTTGGGACAATTGGGAAATACTTTATAGAGAATATTTTATTTGAATGGAAATTAGTAGGAGATGAGTGGTAGAGAACATTCTAAAGGAAACAGAGGGTAGATTAGCAGAGAGGTATGACAGGGCAGGGCATGTTTGTGTATTCCATGTTGTTTAGATATTGCTGGAGCATAAAGTTGGGAGAGGGATATAGGGCTGGATGAGACTCTATACGAAGGCAGAAATCAAATCTTGAAGGTCCTTTGACACAATGTTGAGCCCTCCTTTGTATGTCTTCAGTTCATCCTGCTCCTTGCAGGGAGAATGGCTGTGTGAAAGAGTGATTATATCCTGCCAAACTCTTCCTTTGTGACCCTTGTCCTGGTCTCACTACTTCCAAAGGGAAGTCAAGTGTTTTTTCTCTTTAATTTACTCCATTGAATCATTTATTCTCCTAGATTTGCCTGCTTTGCTTTTCACACAGAATTTGTTACTTTGCTTTTAGATTCCATTTTCAAAATCCTCCCCTCCTTTAAGACCTCACTGAAATTCATATCCTTTATGAAAACTTTTCTCTACTCATGAATGATTTACCCCTTGTGAATTCTAGAACGTTCATTGGACTCTGCATATTCCAATTTTCACATGCTTCTCATATGTCACAAGTTATTTTTATAGCATTCTCAGACTATCCACATGTTGAAGAGAAGGGCCATATACCTACCATTTATCCTATTTCTGCTGTAAGTGCAGCTTCTTGCATGTATTAATAGTAGACATTGCATGGATATTTGTTAAAAGAATAGAGGAAAACAGAGTTCCTTTAATTTGAAAGACTGCTACAGAGGTGGAACTGAGGGATTGATTAATTGTCATATGGAAGGGGTAAGAGTTAACATAATGTCCAGATGAAACTCTTAGAGGAAAGAATAATTGTCAATGAAGGTAGAAAGATTACATTAAACAAAAGGCAGGAATATGTACAGAAAGATGCAGTTTGAAAATCAGTTAAACTACCCAAAGGTTTAGGCATGGGGAGAAGATACTTAGGAAGCCATTCAGCATGTGTGATTGT